CCCTGGAGTTCGATCTCCGACCCCTGGGGGCCCCCAGCCTTCCCAGGAGGGCCACAGCACAGACCGAGGACCTCGGCATTCAAAATCCGGTTGAGGTCTTGAGTCGTACAGGTAGGTATACACATTGTTCATGTCTAATTCTTCGGAAGGTGTTTTGATTTTTTGGGGGGCCTAGATCCTTTCATTTCTAATTCTTCGATCCTGGGACTCTTTCTGGCCACTAGGGGGCCAGGAACAATTTGAAACGAGCACAACTAGAAATGAGCACGATTAGAAATGAACGACGTGTACAGGTCTGGAGGGCCATCGTTTTGCGGACTGGATGGCTAGGGCTCTCGGTTCCAAATCGGTTCCTGGGCTCCGCACGGAGGCCGTCCTGGCCAGGCCTCGTGTCCCGCACTGGCTTCTGGACGGGCTCCAGGGCCAGAGCAGTGAGCCGGGCCTTCCAGAGGAGACACGCCGAGGAAGAGCCTCCTGCGTGACTTGCTCGTTCCCTCCTTCCCCGCTCCCTCCTGGATAACTGGACGACGGACGCTGGACTGGATGGCGGCACTTCCTACGCGCGTCGGCATCGACAACCATGGCTTCCTCGTCCTCCTCCTCCTCCTCCTGCTCAGATTCCCTCTTCCTTTCGTCATAACTTGTTATGTGGCTCGTGGTCCCGATGCATGTGTTCTTGTCGTCCCCACCCCCAAGTACCAGATCACTGAAGCTATGGCCTCACCCGCCTAGTCTCAGTCAGGCCAGGACGCTTGTCCACGAAGGTGGTCGTTCGTCGTTCCCTCCCCCCCTTCCCCACCCCCTCGCTTCCTTCCAACCTCGCCTCCTACTCGCTCCCTCCCCTCAAGTTGCCCTTTGCTCTTCGAGTCATGACTCGGCTCGCTGGCGGCCGTTCTAGGAGATCCGGGCACCCCCAGAACGTTCTCCGCGAGGCGCGGGTGTTGAAAGGCATCCCGGGCCTGGAAAACCGCCGAGAACCGACGAAAACATCCGACAACCCTGACCCTCGGACCCGCAATTCGTCCTCGCTTCCCGCTCCTCTCCCCCTCCTCGCTCCCCTCTTCTTGCTCCCTTCCTCCCTCGCTCCCCCCTCGCTCCCCTCCTCCCTCGCTCCCTCCTCCTCCCCGCTCGCGCCCCTCCTCCTTCGTCCCTTCCTCCCTCGCTGCCTCCTCCTCCCCGTGCTCCCCGTGCGAGGCTGAGCGCGCGCGGCTCGCGGACGTCCAGGCCCGCCTGGCGGACGAGGCCCCGGCGGGAGCAGGGAGGCAGGGAGGGAGGGAGGGAGCGAGGGAGGGAGGGAGGAGGAGGGGACGAGGAGGGGAGGAGGAGGAGAAGGATGAGGAGGAGGAGGAGGAGGAGGAGGAGGAGGAGGAGGAGGAGGAGGAGATGAGGAGATGAGGAGATGAGGAGATGAGGAGGAGGAGGAGGAGGAGGAGGAGGAGGAGGAGGAGGAGGAGGACGAGGAGGAGGAGGCGGGAGGCGGAGGAGGAGGCGGAGGAGGAGGAAGAAGAAGAGGAGGAGGAGGCGGAGGAGGAGGAGGAGGATGCTGAGGAGGAAGAGGAGGAGGATGATGGGGAGGAGGAGGAGAAGGAGGAGAGTGGAGGAGGAGGACGAGCAGGAGGAGGGAGGATGAGGATGATGCTGAGGCTGAGGATGAAGATGAGGATCAGGATGAGGATGAGGATGAGGATGGGGAGGATGATGAGGATGATGATTGGGATGAAGCTGGGGATGAGGATGCGGATGAGGATGAGTATGATGATGCTGACACTGATGATCATGACGACGATGATGCTGATGATGATGACGACGATGATGATGATGCTGATGATGATGATGCTGATGATGCTGGTGGTGATGATGATGCTGATGATGGTGCTGGTGATGACCATGATGATGGTAGTGGGCATGATGATGCTGCTGCTGATGCTGACGATGATGATGGCGACGTTGACGCCGACGACAACGATGATGATGGTGATGCTGATGATCATGATGTTGATGATGATGATGATGACGACGATGATGATGATGATGATGATGATGATGATGATGATGAATATGATGATGATGGTCATGGTAATCCTGTTGGTTATGCTAATGATGTTGGTGATGCAGGTGCTGATGATGAAGATGCTGATGCAGGTGCTGGTGATACTGATGATGATTCTGATGCTGATGTTGATCATCTTGATGATGATGATGATGATGATGGTGGTGATGATGATGATGATGCAGATCACGATGAGGGTGATGGCGCTGATGCTGACTATGATGCTTAAGCTGCTGCCGATACTGATGCTGATGCTGATGATTGTGGCGGTGTTCTGGTGATGGTGTTTGTCATGGCGATGATGCTGGTGATGATGATGTTGATGATGATGATACTGATGATGACGATGCTGGTGACGATGATGATGATGATGATGATGATGATGATGATGATGATGATGATGATTATGGTGATGATGGTTATGATGGTAATGTCAACGGTGATCTCGTTGATGTGATACCACTGATGATGACGGGGACGATGTCGAAGACGAGGGTGATTACGATGACGATGATAATGCTGTTGATGATGATGCTGATGATTCTGATGATGAGGATGATTGTGCTGACGCTGATGCTGATGATGATGGTGATAGTGGCGATCTTGTTGAAGATGTGGTGTGTTGGTGGAGATGATGACAATGCTGAGGACGAAGATGGTACTGATGATGGTGATTAGAAAATGGTGACGATGATCATGATGATGATGCTGCTGATGATGATGCTGCTGATGATGGTGACGATGACGATGACGATGACGATGACGATGACGATGATGACGCTGCTGTTAATGATGGTGGCGACGATGATGATGATGGCCACAATGATGAGGATGCCGATCGTGATGAGGGTTTTCATGATGAGGACAATGCTAGTGCGGATGCTGAAGATGCTGCTGCTGGTGATGATGATGATGATGATGATGTGAATGATGGTTATGCTGATGATATTGATGGTGGTTATGATGCTTATTATGACCATGATGATGATTCCGGCGTGGATTATCATGATAACGGTCATGATGGTGATGATGAGCATGATGATGACGATGATGATGATGATGTTGATGATGTTGATGATGTTGATGTTGATGATGATGATGATGATGATGATGATGATGAACATGATGATGATGCTGACGATGATGATGATGATGATGATGATGATGATGATGATGATGATGATGATGATGATGATGATGATGATGATGATGATGATGATGGTGGTGGTGATGATGATGATGATGATGCTATTGATGTTGATGATGATTATTATGATGGCGATGGCGATGACAATTACGATGACTATGACGACGATGATGCCTACGGCGAGGACGATGACGATGATGGTGGTTGTGATACGGATGCTGACGTTGATGCTGATGGCGATGGTGACGGTGGTAACGTTGGTCAGAATGTCGATGATGATGCTGTCGATGGTGATGATGCTGATGGTGCAGAAGAAGAACAACAAGACGACGCAGAACTTCTGCGTTGTCTGCAACCCCCCTCGGGGCTGCGACCCCCCTCGCGGGTGCGACCCCCCTCGCGGGTGCGACCCCCCTCGCGGGTGCGACCCCCCTCGCGGGTGCGACCCCCCTCGGTCGGGGCTGCGACCCCCCTCGCGGGTGCGACCCCCCTCGGGGCTGCGACCTCCCTCGGGGCTGCGACCCCCCTCGGGTCCTGGGGTCCTGGGGTCCCGGGGGTCCAGGGGGGTCCTGGGGTCCTGGGGGTCATCGGGGTCGATTCGAGAGGTTCTGGGGTCATCGGGGTCCCGGAGTCCTGGGGGTCATCGGGGTCCTGGGGTCCGGACCGGAGGGGAAAGGGGTTCGGTTCGGTTCCCGTCGGTGTCGGTTCAGGGGCCGCCCGGTTCCGGTTCGGTTCCGGTTCTGGTTCGGTTCGGTTCTCGCCGGTTCGGTTCTGAATGAATTCGGTTCGGTCCGGTTCGGTTTTCTACTTTCCTGGTTTTGGACCGGTTCGGTCCGGTTCGGTCACGGTTCTCGGTTCTCGGTTCGGTGCGGTCCCTTCATGCAGAAGAAGACGACAACGACGAAGACGCGGGGGAGGAGGTGATGAGGAGGTGGTAAGGTTTTCGGATGTTTGCGAATGATCTGAAGGTTTCCAGAGGAGGCGGGAGGGAGGATAATGAGGAGGGATGCAGGCGCAGGAGGAGAATGGGGAAGGCGGAGGAGGAGGAGGAGGAGGATGAGGAGGAGGATGAGAAGGAGAAGAAGGAGGAACGGAGGGACTCGCAAAGCGCTTACTCGCAAACGTCCTAAAAAACGTCTTCCCCAATGTCATGGATCGTAAATCCCACGCGGCGGGTCCCCCGCTCCAAGCGGGTCCTCTGGGGGCTCCGACCCATGTAGGGAATCCCCCCGCAACCACCGTCCAGTGGGGCTGTTTCGGGGGCCACCCCACCGGAGATTATCCCCCCAGGACGTTGCTGCCGGACATCCGCTTCGACTTTCTGCCCTCTTCCCCCACCCCCACCCCGGTGAGGACCATCATAGGCCTCACCAGTGAGGACCATCATAGGCCTCACACCCCCTGCGGCTGCCATCATAGGGGCCGCGGGGGTCGCCCTCTCCCACCAATACACCAGTACACCAATACTTTACGGCGTAAATAGCCAATGGAGGGGGCCGAGGACCTCCCTGCAGCCCCTCGGCCAACGAAGACGGCTGCAGGGAGGGGTCCAAACGTACCTCCACCTTCATGCACCAATCTACCAACACACCAGTAAACCAACTCCTCATATTCCTCCATGGGGCCGTGAACGGGATTTATCCCCTGCCGGCTGACGGTGCCTGTCAATGTCAGTAATCTATTACTCTGTGGCGTCAGTTGCCAACCCAGTGCGCCAGTGCACCAAGGGTGACGGTTCGACCCGTGCCGCCGCGGTGTCACATGTGCCGCCGCGGCGTCACTCATGAGGTCGTTCCCGCTCCCCGCCCTTAAGCCGAGCTCTCCAAGGACGGGTATGTAAAACCCTCCCAGCCACCTCCGTCTGCCACTTGGGGCGCAGGTGTGTGGCTGGGCCTACTCCCCTCCTCCTCCTCCTCCTCCTCCTCCTCCTCCTCCTCCTCCTCCTCCTCCTCCTCCTCCTCGCCTTTTTTCATGGATGGGTATAGCCGCCGTCCAATCTACACGTCCGGGGCAGCGGCCCTCGCCGAGAGCTGTCCAAAGGCCGCCTTGGATCGTCCCCCCTTGTCGTTTTCCTTCGGCTTCAGGTCCCCCGGTCAGGCCGCTTCCCTCTCTCAGGTATCCCGTTTCAGGTGCCCCAGTTAGGACTTTTGGCCGCAGCTCCGAGGTTCGAGGCGTCCTCTTCTTGCTGTGTTTTTTTTTCGTCGTGTGCCCCCGGGGTGCGTGGTCGCGTGTGTGCGTGTGCGCGTGTGTGTGTGTGTGCGTGTGTGTGTGTGTGTGTGTGTGTGTGTGTGTGTGTGCCGTGTGTGTGTGTGTGCGTGTGTGTGTGTGTGTGTGCGTGTGTGTGCGTGTGTCTGTGTGTGTCGTGGGTTTCGTATCTTCCGGGTCCGGGGGCCGACCCCCCCCCGAGGCGTGCACATTTGTCCTCGTCTTTGCCTCGCTCTCTCTCTCTCTCTCTCTCTCTCTCTTTCTTTCCCTCTCTCCCTCTACCTCCCTCTCTCTCTTCTCTCCCTCTCTCTCTGCCTCTGCTTTTTGAACGGGGCTCCTCTGGAACATAGGCGGAGGACATACGTAGTTTTTAAGTCCCCTTTTCAGGTATCCCCCCAGGACGTTGCTGCCGGACATCCGCTTCGACTTTCTGCCTTCTTCCCCCACCCCCACCCCGGTGAGGGCCATCATAGGCTTCACCAGTGAGGACCATCATAGGCCTCACACCCCCTGCGGCTGCCATCATACGGGCCGCGGGGGTCGCCCTCTCCCACCAATACACCAGTACACCAATACTTTACGGCGTCAATAGCCAATGGAGGGGGCCGAGGACCTCCCTGCAGCCCCTCGGCCAACGAAGACGGCTGCAGGGAGGGGTCCAAACGTACCTCCACCTTCATGCACCAATCTACCAACACACCAGTAAACCAACTCCTCATATTCCTCCCAGGTGGGGTCGGAGCAGATGGGGTCGGACTGTCGCGCCGCGCCGCTGATGCATCGGCGATGCTGCGCGGTCTGGAGCCCGTTCCTCTACATCCCGCCGTCGCCGATGCATCGCCGGCGCGGCGCGATCCTCCGACCCCATCTGCTCCGACCCCGAGGCTTTCAGCAAAACCTCGCCACGAAGCAGACTGGTCCTGAGGGTAAGCAGGTCCTGAGGTGTCTCATCGTCGTTGAGCGCCCTGGGCACTCCACGGGCCCCAGGGACCCTGTTTGAAAGCGGCCCAGCACGAAAAGTTGGCCGCGGGAGAAAGGCCTCAGGGTCCCTGCTTCCTGACATCCGCCGATGCGATTTCCGCAATCTGCGGCCTCAGAGGTCTGAGAGATCGCGCTTCGTGGACGCTTGCTCGGAACGAATCCTTGGACACGTCGGAACTGGGGGGGCCGGGAGGGGGGGTAAACTCTTGAAGCGCCTGGAGAACCGCACCCCCCCTTCCCCCTCGGACGCCGCCCTCTCTAACCCGGGAGGGCCCCCCCCCTCCAAGGGGAGGGGGGGGGGGTCGAATTGGGGAGGGGCCCCCCGCCCTGACCAGGGGGGGTGGCGGGAGGGTTCGAACCGGGCCCCCCCCTCCCCATAAGAGGATCCGTCCGCTTAGTGTTCGATTAAGCTCTACTTTAGTTTCAGTATATGTGGATCCAACTTGAACAGCACCCTAGTCTGGCTCGCTCCAAATGTAGTAACATATTATATAGCTGGATCCAGCTCTGATCGAATCCTGCTAAGGCTCAATCCAGATCTAGTAGAATCCAAATATAGCTGGATCCAACTCTAATGGCATCCTAGCGCGGCTGCCGCCAACTCTCATAGAATCGCATTATAGCTGAATCAAACTTTAATTTAATCCTATTGTATTAAGGCTCGATCCAGCCTTAATAACATCCTGCTAAGGTTCGATCGTCGTCGTCGCCGTCGTTGTCGTCGTCGTTTTCGTCGTCGCTGCCCGACGGCGCCAGCGCTCGCCGTCGTCGGTTGCCACTGGGTAGGAAGGGGGGCGCCTCCCCTCGCAATTCGGGGGTGGGGCTGGTTCGAACCCCACCCCACCCCTGATTCGAACCCCACCCTGCAATTCAACGCCCCTCTCTTCGCAGCGCCCACAGAGTGCGCTCGTTCAGAGGTCTCGACCCCTTCCCCCGGCCAGCTTTGCTCCCTGGGCCTGTTTTCGGTGGCCTGGGGGCCCGGAACCCAGTCATGCGACGTCCTGATTTGTTCAGGACGGCGTCCCCAGAAGTCCCGACCCCTTCCCCGGGGCCAGTTTGTCATCCTGAGTCGTTGTTTGACGGTCCCGGGGCCTGGCGAAGGCCCCCAGGGGGCGAAAATAGCGAGAAACTCGCCGTCCTGATTTCTTTACGACGCGATCATGTTTGGGAAACGGCCCACGAGGGCCGAAAGCGAGAATAGCCCGCCGGCTGACGAGATCACGCTGTCGGAGATCCTGCTTCATGCCGACACCTCCTCTTCCTCGTCCTCCTCCTGCTCCTCCTCCTCCTCCTCCTCCTCCTCCTCCTCCTCCTCTTCCTCCTCCCCCTCCCCCTCCCCCTCCCCCTATCCTCCAATCCTCCAATCCTCCAATCCTCCTCCTTCTCCTTTTCGGCCTCGCCCTGCTCCTGCTCCCCATGCCCTCCAGTCCCCCCCCCCCCGCCCCGCCCTCTCGGGCAGGAGCAGGCGCGCGGGGCGCGGGCGGAGGCGCTGCGCGGGGCCGTGGCCGAGCTGGAGGCGGGGCAGGCGGACCTCCGCGAGGCGGCCGCCGACAACGAGCGCCTGCGGGGGGCCCTGCGCCACACGCTGGAGGCCCTGGAGGCCCCCTCGGCTCGGCCCGTGCGCTGCGTGTCGGCTGACGTACAACACCCTGCACTGTTTCAAAGATTTCAGTTTTCGCCCCCCGCGCCCCCGATTTGATACTGGCAGGCTGTGGCGCGAGTTGTCGCTCCGCCGACTGGCCTGAATCCTGCACACCGCGGGCGCAGCCAATCAAAATTGAATCGGGGGCACGGGGGCGCGTGGAAGTTTGCGCCGTCGCCCCGATTGCGCGGCTGGTGCAGGTTTTGTCCATCAACCGGCGCTCCCCCCCAGCTATGATTCAGTCGGGCATGTCAATCTGCAGGAGGAAGACTATTCAAAAGATAATATAGGGATTATGTTTTGAATCTGCTTTGACTACCTTGGGGCACTTTTACATATAAAAACAAAGACGGCCAAAATCTGCCTGTAGGGGGACATGCCCGACCTAAGGCTATGAGTTTTGCAGCCGGCGGTTCTTCTTCGGCTTTGGCCCTGGGTGTTTTTTTCCCGGGCCCCTGGGGCCATCAAAAGTGAATTTGGGGCGGCCAGAATAACAGCGAGCGGCTTGGATAAGGAACACTCACTTTTCAAAAGAGGCTCGGTCGTTCCTTAGGCTTGCATGCGTTATTTATCGTTCCTTATGCGTTATGTATTATTTATCGTTCCTTCTGCGTTATTCCGTGAAAAAAAGGACTTCATTTCTTATTCGTCGTTCCTTGGGTCAGGCCGATGACTGTACCCCCAGGGAGGGGGTCGAGACTTCTGGAGCCGTTGGCTGAATAAAAAACAGATCGGCGGATGCCTGGAGAGTGCAGGCAGAGCGCGCGCCCACGCCCTCGCGTGCCTGCCAGGGGGAGTCGGCAGCCACACCGTGGAGGCCCCAGAGGCCCTCGGCCTGGTCTGTGTGACGTGCGCCTCCCCAGCGCTGAGCCGGAGCATGAGTCCACATTCACGTGATCGTTTTGGATTCATTGTTTTGCCGATCGGCGCGGGCCCTCGCAGCCCCCCCCCCCATGGAGCAGATCTTGGCTGTTTTTTGGCGCCTGTTTCGAGGGGGCGGAGTCTCCCCCAGAGGCAGCACTCTTGCAAGCAGTCGCACTAAGGAAAGATCTGGAGCCAGACCCCCCCCCCTTGCCGCCCAATGTCGAAACGCCGAATAAAAAAACGCTCACCGCGCACGCGCACGCGTGCACACGCACCATGCGTGACACTCATATACATCATGCGTGCGCGCTGCAACGCTTGCACACTTCCCTGCGCACGCACGTACACACGCGCATGCACGTGCACGTTCGCACTCACACAGGCGCACGCATGCGTACGTGCAGGCATGCAAACAGTACGTTGGCACTTTCTTAGAATTTTACGGGGACGTTCATGCCGCTCGTCCTAGATGGTTCGTTCAGCTATATTGCCGCCTCTCCCGAGATCTTATGTCGTGTGCAAAAACATTACTTCGTGAACGCATCGCGATTCTAGCTATCGGCATCATCTGGTTGTGGGATTTCGGACCAGATCGATCCGTAAGGATCCTGGGCCCTCGATGAGGCAAGCATAGCGAGCGCGACTTCGACCTTCATCGTCCTCGTCGTCCGCCGTCCTCCTGGGTCGGGGCGCCCCTCTCGTCTTGAAGCCGTTGCGATGTTCTTCCAGACGCCTCGGCTGACCCACCAAGGGAGCCTGGCCCACCCGACCCCGCTCTCACTGGAGGTTTCCCCAGGGGAGCCTGGCTCGTGCCGTGCCGCAGGCCGGCGCGCGCTGCCACTCGCCAGGGGAACCCGCCGGAGGCCTCGTCGCTCGGCTGCCCCTGTGGCCTGGCATCGCTCGGACGTGTGCATTTTTTCTCGGCGAGGGCCATCGATCAGCATCCTTGGTCATTTGGCGAGAAAACCACGCACGAACCGACAAAAAACACAGGGAATGGACGTCCGAGCGATGGCGAGTGTGGGGCCCTGCGTGCCCGCCCAGACGCTCCGCGACACACCGCTACCAGCCACCAGCACGCTCCCCCTCAGACGCACCGTGCCACACTGATACCACCACTGGGACGCTCCGCTCCGTGAGCTGCTCCCCCTAAGACCGCTCCGCAGCGCACCGCCACCACCATGCCTGGCCAGGGCCACCCTGGGTCACAGGATGGCGCATTGGCCCTCCATGGCCGAGGCCGAGGAGGACGTATGCACCATGTCGCGGCAGGGCCCAGGGCGCAGCCACGGCCCTCTCGCCATGCTTGGTGGGCGGTGCAGAGGTGCCCTGTGTGCATCCTCGTGGTGCAGAAATGCGATCGGGAACTCTGGGGCAGCGTGTCGCTCCGCCTGCTCTGGCCCAACGCGCTGCGGCGCGACACGCTATCCACTTCCCTGTCCCCCAGCGCGACCGTCCCGAGCTTTTCCCGGCCTCCCGCCCCGCGGGCGGAACGACACGCTATCCGCTTGCAGGGCATGGCGTGCCGCCGGGGCCGCCGGGGCGACGCGCTGTGCAACAGTTCCTGACCGCTGGCGCCCTCTGCGCACCGTTGTGGCGCAGGTGCAGGTGCCCTCTGCGTGTGTCATCCCGCTCCCCCGCCCCCTTTACCTCCCTTCCCTCCTCTCCTTTTCTACCGCCTCTGTCTGCCGATGGGCGCTGGCAGCAAAAAGGCCACAGACGCGGTGCGCGTTCGCCACAGCTGCCACTACACAAATCGTATCTCCCCCCTCTCGTCATCTGGCTTACGGGTCAAAGCTCCAGTCCCTTGCGGCCTTCCGGGACGAGTCGGGGACCCCCTGGACGCTCTCGGCGAGGCGCAGCTGATGGAGAGCACCCCGAGGCTGGAAAACCGCCTGGAACGAGCGAAGGCCCCTTGAGCCCGTCCCGCGTCTGAGCCCCCATGCGGCCGTCGAACGCCGCCAGGACCGAGCCCATATGACGGCCAGTTGTGCCGTGCTCCCGCCGCCATCTTGGCACTGAGCTCGTCAGGCCGTTCGCTCGGCTGCCGCATTGTCCCAGACGCCGAACGAGTTCAGTCGTGGACCCTGGGGAGCGCTCGAAAACCTCGAACCCCTCCCCGACTCCGAGGCTTGCATCGGAAATGAGGCCCAAACGATGCGAACAAGCAGAGCGGACATCCCCGCCTCTCAAGAGCACTGCGGGCCTTTCCGCAACGGCACGGCGGAAACAGCGACGGCAGAGCAGGGTGCACATCGACGTCGCAGGAGCTGGACAAGCAGGGCGGGAGTGTCCGCCCTGCTCGCGAGATCGCTCCAACAAACGGCGGATCCGGACTCGGAGCCAGCCCTCCCAGAGTGGGGGCGCTGGTTAAGGAATGCGTTCAAGAGGCGGCAGACCCTGGAGGATTCCTTATCTGCTGAGGGCGGCTGTGATATCCATGGCCAAGCCTTGATTGCAGTTCCACCAGCCTCCAGACCCTGGATTCCTTATGTAAGGGTTCCTTATCCAATGCCACCACCGTAGGGCTCGCGTGTGGCCCCCTCCTCCTCATCCTCCTCCTCCTCCGCCTCCTCCTCCTCCTCCTCCCCCTCCTCCGTAGCCATTTTGGCTCAAGCCATTTTGGCTCAAGTAAAACATTTCCCAAGGCAGCTGGCCGTTCAGCTCTGTTCCATTCCATGACTCACAGGACCGTCACGGCTGCCCAGCCCACGGCTCCGCTCCATATCCGCAAGACGAAGCTCACCTTCGCACAATTACCAATTCAACTAATTCAATTGCAGGTCTTTGGATTGGCTCTTCTCTCGCTTGGCATCGGACAGGCAATTCGTGGCATAGTACAGTACAACACTTCAGAATGGACTCCGACACTGCCTCCGCTTCATCTCGCAGCGACTCCAAGAGCAGAAGTCAGGCCAGTGGACACCGTCGGGATCGCCGCATACATTCAGAAAGGCGCGACAGGGACAGAGACCGCGACCGCGATCGACACCGCCGACGTGATAGGGATCGACGCCAACGTACTTCTTCGTCTGAAGGTTCACGCCTTCGGCCCAAAGGACACAGTGGACACTCTAAAGGCCCTCTCGAACGTGAAGCAAATGGCGCCCCTCGAGGATTTCATTCAGCAGCCACTCAAGATGCATGGCAGCGAGCAGCACTGGAAGAACTTGATGCAGCACCTACTTTCCCCTCTCAAGAACAAGCTCACTGGCAAGCTCATCAACACGCACGGCGAGAACGACAAGCACGTGAACTCCAAGAGGCTCAAGCCGCACGCGACGCCCACGAAACCGCACAGCTTGCCGCCGCAGCAGAAACCTCTCAACAACAATGGCTTGCTCAACACGCGGCTCACGCAGCTCAGCAGCGCTCTCCTATTACAGCAGCGCCCTCTACCGCCGCAGCCAGCTCTGGACACAAGGCATCAGCTGCTGCACCAGCTCATGCAGCAGAAGGCACCGCCACGCCAGCAGGCGGACCGTGGCCTCAATCAACGTTGGGCCCAGACATTCAGCGCGAGCTCAAGCAGATCATGGCATCACAAGTGGCAGCAGTCAATACCGCAGTTGGAGAAACCGTATCCGCCTCGCAAACGCAGTTGATTGCCGCTCTACAGCGACACGAAGCAGCTACTACTCGCAGATTGGACGGGCAAGAGCAATACCTCATGGCCATCAAGATTGCTCAAGCCAAGCAAGAATCACAACATCAGGAAGTCTGGAGTGCCATCCAGCGTATCAATCAGCAGCTCAGCCTGGGCGAAGCCGACGCTCCCATCCTGGACATGGCCAAGGTCTCATACTGGGATCGCGAGCCCGACCCCGCCATCTACGTTCTCTCCACCGCGCAGCCCGTCGACACAGCCGCAGTTCGCACGTCCATCACAGAATGGTTGGATGCAGCAGAAGTGGCCCCGCAGCAGTTTCAGATTCACGGTGAAGGACCCAATCGGCGCTTCATACTTCAGCTTCTGGGCGGCCGATCTGTCGCCATTTCCAAATCCGTTGCGCTCGCTCGTGCCCTTCAGCTTCCAGGACGCGGAGGTTACAGACAGTTCACAGTTCAGACCCCCACCAACTGCGTCATCAATCACGGCCAGTCCGTCCCGCTCTACGTCAACCCCGATAAGAACACCAAGCGCATCAGAATGGAAACTCAAACTAAAAAGCTACTCGCTCTTTGTCAGACCCACTACCCCACGCACAATTGGCGTGCGCGTCGTGATCAAGGGCGTATTTTCTGCAATACCATCCCCACCGCCAAACTGGAGCTCACTAGCATGGACACGGCAACGGTCATTCGTTGGAATCTAGATGCGCTGGCCAAGGTTCCTATCAACAAAGCCACCATCGCTGCAGAATTTGCCGCTCTCTACAAAGCAGAGGACACAGTACAGTGGCTTTAACAAACGCTGGTTTCCATGGAGAACTACGACCACAGACGGAGACCATGCCAGACCTCCTGGACCTGATGCACCGCGAGGACATCGGCCTCATCCTCTACAGCACCTTCGGCCAGCACCTGACCTCCAGCTTCCTTGCTCTGAAGCTGCGCACGCTCCTCTTCATCCCGAATGTGCTCCACGGGAACCCAGACCAGATCTTCAGCATCATAGAGCACCAACAGATCTACCTGCACCGCAACGACAGGCACACGGGGATTGGGACACCCCTGTTGTCCCCGAGGGTCGGGAGAGCCCTCCAGACGTTATTTCAGATTTCTCGGGCCTGGAGTGCCCACCAGATTCGCTTCTTCCGCAACATGATCTGCCTCACCCCGCGCAAGCTCTACTGCTTCCCGAACGAGATCGCATTCTCAAAATAGATAAGATTCAGAATGGCTCGGTTTCAGCTTTCAGCTCATATTCGGCTTCTTCGTCATCGTCTTCTACCAGCGCTTCTTCATCCTCGTCGGACACCAGCTCATCATTCAACAACCGTCGGTCTCGGACTACTCGTACACGTACACGACCTACTGCAGCAGATACGGCAGGCAGCTACATCTGTTGGAACGCTCGCGGGCTACTCTGTCATGATGATGCCAAGCGCTGGGGAAAGATACGGCAGCTCGTTCCCTTCATGCGCAAGCAGTCGCTTATCGCTCTCCAAGAGGTGCACAGCACACAGCTCGATCTCGAATCACACCCTGGCAAACTTCCTTACGACTATCAGGTCTTCTTCAGCGGCTTCCCTCACAACCGCGGCAAGGGCGGCATCGCCTTCTTAGTACCGACGCCTTCGATGTCGACGACTTCTACCTCGCTTTGGCCAGTGATACGCGGGAGGGTTGCTGTCCTCCACGTGGCCAACCACACCACGGGCTTCGAAACGCTCATCATGAATGTGCACACTCACGACCTGCAGGCTACGGATATGGATAGAGTGACGGAAGCGCGGCATGCTTCCCGACAGTGGGCAGCGCAGAACCCACAACAGCGGCTATTCATTGCCATGGGCGATTTCAACACCAGCGCGGTCCCCTCCTTTAACTTCAAGGATCCATCAGCACGTTGGCGGCCGATGGCACCTGATGGACAGTATCAGCGCGAACAAGCGCGTTGGCGCCAATTGTTTGCCTCGCTCACGGAAGTTACGCACGACCTGCCCACGCACTTCTCGGCCAACACACAAGCGGCGACTGCCATAGACCGCATCTTCGTGTCGCTGTCGGGCATCGATCTCATGAACGTTGACGCTCACCTCAAGATCCACAAAGACGGCGCTGCTTTATCAGATAAAGGCCTCAGTGACCACGCGATCCTGCACCTGCTGCTGGTCAACGCATCGGCGGCGCAGAAGGAGGAACAGGCCATCGATCCGCTCATCTTCCACGATCCCACGTACCAGCGCCACTTCAACTTCCTGAAGGACAACATCGACTCGGCAGCTCTCACGCCAACTGGAGCCTGGAAGCAACACAAGATCATCATCAAAGAAGCGGCTCGCCCCACTCGTAATCTTCAACAGCGAGCCACCCTGCATGATCAATGCCGCTGGGCGAAGCATCGGAGGCTTACTACACTACGTGCCATTGCTCGGACGGTTTGGCGAAAAGACTCAGACACGGCAGCGCTCCTCATGGCCGCGACGGACATCGGCGGCGCTCACCTTCGCCTTGCCGACAGCGGGCCCGAGCTCATCAACAGAGACGAGTGCATCAAGCTTATGGATGCAGCTGTTACCGCAGACTACGACAGACGCGCCGCCATCGCCACGAAGCGCCAGCTGCAGTCCCACGCCGAGATGCAGATGGACCAGGCCGGCAGCCGCAAGGCCGCGATGCAGCTCACACGCCGGGCGCAGGCCTGGAACCCATTTCGTCGTCGCCTCGTTCTTTCAGGACTTAGGATACCAAAAGAGGGGACACCCACCAATGCCCTCCCCACCACCAGCTCACCCGAGGGCATTTTCGGAGGTCTTCAGAAGTTCTGGCAGCCCATCTTCTCGAGCAAGATCGTGGACCCCAACGCGGTCCAGTCGTACTTGGCCCAGCACCTCCCCGTCTTCGATTGCGCGGACCTGCGGGTTCCAGCTCTTCAGGACTTTCAGAGAGCCCTACGTAAGGTACGTCACACTGCCCCAGGCCCTGACCAGATACCTTATGCTGCATGGGCTACCTCTCCAGGCTCCTCTCAGATCTTATATGACCTCATGATGCAGATGTTCGAAACAGGCCTGGCCCCGTTTCAGTTCAACGATTCCGTCTTCGCGCTTCTTCCAAAATGTGATGAGCCCCAGGACCAATACGCCGTATTTCAAGCTCCAGGTGCCACTCGCCCCCTCTCCCTAAAGAACTGCGACGCCAAACTGATTGCCCACGTCGTGAACATGGGCTTAGTGGATACGGTCAAAGAGAGAACGGTAGACACGCAGCAGGGGTTCGTAAAGGGCCGTAATTTCGGACAACACGTTCTGACGCTAGACTCTGAAGCCCGTAGAGCAGGCCATTCCCCAGCTGCCCTAGATGCCCTTCCCATCATAGTCAGTTTCGATATCAAAGCTGCCTTCCCATCCTTAGGATGGGAATTCCTGTTTGCTTCTTTGGTGGCTCACGGAGTCCCCCCAGGGTATCTCAATGTCATTCGTGCGCTTTACCATTCTCCACGGGCGTGGGCCCGCGTCGGTGGCCAGCTTCAGTACATGTTCGAAATCGGCTCTGGGGTGCTTCAGGGCTGTCCTCTTTCAGGATCGATCTGGGCCCTTGCGTTTGTTGCCCCCATCCGTCGTCTCGTCCAGATTTTAAACCTTCTTCCTGGATCTAACAAGCTCGGTGCCTGCGCAGATGATCTGGGCCTTGTCCTCGCTCGCCTTGGGACCCTCCCTTTCCTCCTTCCCCCCTTTCGGGCCATTGCCACTCTCGCAGGACTCGAACTTCAGATTCAGAAGACAGTGATTTTGCCCTTGTGGGCCGCCTTCTCACCTGCCGTGCAATCTCTCACTCAGCGCTTGCTCAAATTTCTAGTCCCAGAGTGGCAACGCATTCAGATCGCCGAGTACGCCCGCTATTTAGGGGTACTCATCGGTCCCGCCGTCACTCTAGGCATCCAGTGGAAGGCCGCATTTGATAAATACTGGCTACGGGTGGTGCAGCTTGCGGCGAGCGCGCCAGGCCCCTCAGTTGCCATCAAATTATATAACACATGTGTTATAACTGTGCTGTCGTATCTCACGCAATACTTCCCGTTCCCTGCCACGTTTCTGCGGCATGAACGCGGCACGCTGCGCAAGATTTTTCGTGCACCCCCCAACTCCTGGCGCCTCGTCGACCTCCTCGGTACTCGCTCGTGGTCGCCCTCGTCCTCCCCCAACTCACTGGTCACGCTTTCACTCGCAGCTGCCTGGCGCACTGCCACTGCCACGCTTCCCGACTGGAAGCCGCTGTATCGCGCGCTCGTCCTGGCCCAGGACCAGCTCAATCCAGAACTGTCCCTGGCGGATTTGGGGCAGGCCCGTATTCGGGCCACGGTTTCGCCTGTGTTTTGGAAGAGTCCAGGTATCGTCGAATACTGGCGCGACCTCGCCGACGGTCAGCCGCCATACGTCGTCTCACTGCCCATCTGGCGCGCGGCACAGCGCGCCGCTGCAGATGAGCACGCCGCCGCCACCAACGAAGCGCGCCGTGCTAGGGTCCAGCGAACCCTTGCTTCGGTCCTCCACTCCTCCCTCTACCCCGACAAGTTCGCAGAGACCCTAGCGCGCCGCCTCTCGTCGGCTCTCCCAGAAGTTGTGCTCCCTCCAGCCCTGCCAACCCGCTGGAAGGAGCTTTCAGAATACCTTTCAAAGAAAGCACCAGCCATCCGCTGGGCTGTCTTTAAAACGCTAGCGGGAGCGTGGTGGACCAGCCACCGATTCCCGTTTGGACCGCGCCGCACGTGTCTGCTCGGGTGCGAAGCTTGCCCAGACCGTCTCGGCCACTACCTCACCTGCCCCCGCCTTCTGCACTTCCTCGCGTTACCCCGTTCCTTTCTCTCCTCGGACCCCCTCGTGCGAATTGGCCTAGGGACGTCAGTGCAACACGCAAACCCAGAGCACACAGTTTCAGAAGCTGTTCGCAGGACAGCGCTTTCATATCACTTTTACAACAAACTGCGTATCATTACGCACGCCGCGCCCCGCGCCGCGCTTCTTTACACTACAGGCACTGAGTGCCTAGCTGCTGCACTGCACGCGATGCGGCCGTAGACGAGACAAGCGGACGCGTGGACACTTGCCCTCTTCTCGCGTCTTGCCCGCCTGCCTTCGTCTCGTCCTTTCTTGGTACGGTCGCTCCTCCTCCCCCTCCTCCTCCTCCTCCTCCTCCTCCTCCTCCTCCTCCTCCTCCGCCTCTGGCTCCGCCTCCTCCTCCTCCTCCTCCTCCTCTTCCTCCTCCTCCTCCGCCTCCGCCTCCGCCTCCGCCTCCTCCTCCTCCTCCTCCTCCTCCTCCTCCTCCTCCTCCTCCTCCTCCTCCTCCGTCCCCCTCTCCTCCCCCTCAGAAATCGTGAGGGGTAGGGGTAGGGTTCGCATGTGGCCCCCCGTCGCAGAGGCCATCCGGCAGCGCAGCGGCAAGGCGCTGGGCGCCGCCGGGCCCGCCCGCGGCTGGGGCGCGGCCCCGGGCGCTGGGCCGACCCCGCTCGTGCCCCGCGGGTATGCCTCGCGAGCCCAGCCTCCGCGGGGAGGCCCCTCGCGGACACGCACGGGCGACGGAGGGGGCGCCGGCCCTGGGCCCGGGGCCTCGCGGGCATGGGGCAACGTTGGAGGGGGAACGTTCGAGGTTCGAGGTTTTCTCGAAGAAGAACAAACGGCATACATAGAAACTGTTGGCGTTCCGCGCGGATTTCTTGGATCGGCGCTCGAGGCCCCCTGGCGGCGCCTCTGGCGCCGCCCCTGGCGCGCTCCGCGCGCCAGGAAGGGAGGGGCCAGCGCGGATCCAAGAAATCCGCGCGGAGCGCCAAAGGTTTATGTTTATGCCGTTTTTTATGATTCTATTTTCGGGCGGTTTCGTCGGTGCTTGGCGGCTTCCTGACCTCGGGGTGCTCTCCAGCCGCTGCGCCTCGCCGAGGGCGTTCCCGAGACGTCCCCAGATCGTCCCGAGCGGCCGCCGCAGAGCCGACGGCCCCCGGAAGCCAGACGACGACCGCGGCGTCCTCTTCGTCGTCCGGGCGCCGCCCTTCGGCCTGGGGCCTCGTCGTGGGAGGAGGAGGAGGAGGAGGAGGAGGAGGAGGAGGAGGAGGAGGAGGAGGAGGAGGTGGAGGAGGTGGGGGGTGGAGGAGGAGAAGAAGGAGGAGGATGAGGAGGAGGGCGTGAGCCCAGATTTGAGCGTTTCTCTTGGAATTTCGGCGCCCCAGAGCCACCAAAAATCAGTCCAGGGTGCAGGCCTGCTCCCTGGGAAGGGGTCGGAAGCTCTGGCGCCTGGGATGGAGCATGCATCAGATCGGGGGATGTGTGGGTAGAGGGTGCTGGCCGAGGAGGGCTGCGGGCGCTCCTCCTCCTCCTCCTCTTCCTTCTTCTCCTCCTTCTCCTCCTCCTCCTCCTCCATTCCTTTTCCTTATAACTATGTTTCCCCTGTCGCACCCCGAGGCCAGTCGAAAGGGCGGGCTGGGCGTTTCGCCTGAGATTTCCTCACCATTCATGGTCCTGAAGCTTTAACATTGGCAACAGCTTCACAGATGGGGCGGGTTGATTCGAAATGTGGCTCTTGCCTTAGCGCCGCGCACGTTCGTTCGAGAAGCAAGAGCTTCACTACTTTCCAAAATGTGGTTCCCGCCTTAGCACCGCGCGCACTTGTTTCTAAAATATTGCAAGAGTTTCATGTATTGACGGCGGCTCCTTTTCAAAATGTGGTTCTCGCCTGGGCGCGGCGGACATTCCTTTTTAAACAGTTTAAGAATTTCGCGGGTTCTCATGGTCAACGTCCCAGAATTGGCGTTCTGGAAAAATTCTGGGCTATGAGGGCGCAACAGTTACGCTGGCTCGCGGTGCTGAAGTCCCAGGATCGGCCTTCTGGCACGATTCAGGATCGTCAAGGCGCAGCAGTCAGGTTGATCGTGGCGTTGGAGTCCCGAGAACAATGTTGTTGCATGCTTCAGGGTCTTCCAACGGTTGTGTTCCAACGAGGCAGCTCACTCAGTGGAAATGAATCCTTGTAGGGGCCTATGAGGAGGGAACTTGGAGGGAGGGTTCATTCCAACATCGTTGATGACTCTTGGGTTTCACAGTTCCTCCTCCTCCTCCTCCTCCTCCTCCTCCTCCTCCTCCTCCTCTTCCTCCTCCTCCTCCTCCTCCTCCTCCTCCTCCTCCTCCGCCCCCCTCTCCTCCCCTCTCCTCCCCGCTCCGTCCATCCTCCCTCCCCCCTGGGACCCCGAGGGGGAGGGGCTCAGGATCGGACCGCGGCGTGCCAGCGCGAGGGCCTCCCCCGGGGGGGGCAGCGAGCGCCACGGGGGGGGGGGGGGGGGGGCGGCCGCGGGGAGCTCCCGCCGTGCCCCATTGGGCGGGTGGCAACTGGGGGGTGACCCAAACAGGAGGGGGGGGTGAAGAACAGGGCCCCAAAGAGGCCTCCTCCTCCTCCTTCCTCCTCATCCTCCTCCTCTTTCCTCCTCCTCCCTCCTCCTCCTCCTCCTCCTCCTCCTCCTCTCCTCCTCCTCTCCTCCCTCCTCCTCCTCCTCCTCCTCCTCCTCCTCCTCCTCCTCCTCCTCCCTCCTCCTCCCTCCTCCTCCTCCTCCTCCTCCTCCTCCTCCTCCTCCTCCTTCCTCTTCACCCCTAATTGGGGCCACCCCCCCCCGTACCACCCGCCCGAGCCCCTCCCGCGGCCTTGCCCTGCCCCCCCCACCCCCCGCAGGTCACTCGCCCCGCGCGCCCTCCCGCGCGCCCGCGGGCGGCGGCGACCCTCGGGAGCCCGTCGCGACGATCCGCCGCGAGAGCTGGAACACGCCCCTCGCGCCCGCCCAGCGCGCACGCCCCTCGCGTCCGCGCGCGCGCTGGGGAGGGACCCCTGCGCGTTGGTCGTTGAGAGCAGGTGCTTCTGGAGTCCCAGGTCCCACTCTGTTCTGGGCGCCTTGCTGCTTCAAGCGTCGGGTTGTTTTTTCTTCAGCCCTATCTACTTCCAACGCCTTCCTACTTCATGTTTCGACCCACTTCGTCCGACCGACGGGTCTACGGTCGAACCGAGGTATAAGATCGAGGTCGGTTCGGGGAGGGTGCCCTGATGCTCTTCGTGTGTGATGGGTTTTCTGGCACATCCGGGGAGAGTATACCCTCGAACGCTCTGTGTGCTTTTGGGCCGGCGGAGGGCCGCATGTTCTTGAAGGACGTTATTCTGTCCCGGGTCCGACCGCACGGTAGGTTCGTGTCGTGTCGACCGGCGGTGACCCCGCCAGCGGCGCTCAATTGTGAACGCCGCGGGCGACCCAGAATCGTTCGAAGTGGAACGATTTGGACGTTTCGGAAGCGTGTTAAAGATCGCAGTCTATTTTCTGCAGATAGTGCTGATCCTGCTGAATCTGCTCCCCCTCGTTCCTCACCCTCCTCCTCCTCCATTACTTGCTGTAGATCGTGATGATCCCGCTGATGATGCTCACTCCTCCTCCCTTCTCCCCCCTCCTCCTCCTCATCCTTCTCTTCCTCCTCCTCCTCCTCCTCCTCCTCCTTCCTGGAAGCGGCCGCTCGTTCCAGGGTTGAGCGATCCCCGCGGATTTCAGCAACCAGCGCCGAGGCCGGCTCGGCTCGAGCCTGACGCACACCCCGTGCTCGTGCTCGTGCCCCGCCGTGCGGCACGCCGCCGGCACCACCGGAGCACCGCAGGTCGACGCGCGGCCCCCCCGCGGGCCAGCGGGGCCACCGCGCGCGGGCTCGGGCCGGGCTCCGGCCCGCGGCGCGCGGAGGCCCCAGGCCGGCGATGGAGCGCGCGCGCGCCACGGGGGGGAGGTCGAGGCTCGAGGCTCGAGGATCTCGGTGGGGGCCTTCTCGCCCTCTCCGAGGGCGCCCTCGGGCGGCCTTCTCGCCCCCGTCGGAGCCCTGGTCGGAACAAGCCCCTTGCTCTCGTGCTCTCGCGAGGGGGGGGGAGGACAATGTGAATCTTTGCTGCGCTCCCATCTAGCGAATTGTGGTGCGACGCCTTTGCTCGGGCCAGGGATGTGGGGACTCACCATATCACCCTAACCGAAGTCAAGAGCCATCTGTCTCGTAGGGCCGCCCTCGAACGTGGGTTTAGGTTCTGGGTCTGGGCTGGCAATCGCGAGGCAGACCGCCTTGTGAAGTTAGGAGCGGCTGTGCATCCCGACAACCCGAGAGCCAAGCAGTTGTACGCACGTCAGGCTGATTTGGTCTCCAAGAGCGCGCGCGCGCGTGATTCACGAGACCATGAAAACCTTGTCCCGTCTCCACTTCCCAGGTGTCGAGAGGGTCCGAGCCAAGGTAAGACAGCGCCCTGGGGGTCTCGAGTTGGTGCCTGATTCGCCTGACCATCAGTTGGTGCGTTATAAGCTCAAGGGGGGCAGGTTCAAATACCAGTGTGTTCGCCCTGGGAGGGCGGGCAGTAGGGTAGGAATCTGCAAGACCGCATGTGCCGGGCTGTCGAAGGTAGCCCGCCTTGTCCACCCCTCCAAGAAGCTGTAGATTGGAGGAGGTCAGGTAACGTGGTGCTCGAAGTGCGGCGCGTTCGGGAATCGTAGGTCCCAATACTCAAAGAGTAATTGTTGAGACCCCCTACGTAATAAAGATGCCTCGCTGAGTCTGAAGTTGCTTCGTGAAGGCACGGGCCCGTCCAGCAAAACGCACCTTGGACGGAACATCGCTTTAGGGCGGCTGGCATGAATTCCTGGCAGGGTCGGGGCCGATGCTGGGAGGCCAGCCGCTGACCCGATCGCTTCCAGGCGTGCCGTCGCCTTCACCCGCTGTGCCAGATGTTCGCTTGTTCGCGGGTTGGGGATCTGGCCTGTATTGGGGAAACTGGAGAAACGGGAGACGGAGGAGAAGGATGAGGAAGGGGACGACGACGGTGATGATGATGCTGATGATGAGGATGCTGCTGATGCTGTTGATGATGATGATGATGATGATGATGATGATGATGATGATGATGATGATGTTGATGATGATGATGATGATGATGATGATGATGATGATGATGATGATGATGATAGCGATCGTGCTAATACTGATGGTGATGCTGATGATGAGGATGGCGTTGTTGATGCGAATTATGATAATACTGATGATGGTGCTGGTGGTGGTGATGGTACAGGCGAATGTGATGTTGACGATGATGCTGAGGGTGATGCTGATGATGGAGATGGTGCGGATGATGTGGATGATGGTGATGATGGTGATAATGATGTTGATGATGGTGATGATGCTGATGCCGATACTGATGCTCCTGGTGATAATGATGATGATGATGCTGGTGTTGTTGATGATGATGACGATGACGATGACGATGACGATGATGATGATGTTGCTGATGATGATGATGATGATGTTGATGATGATGGTGATGATGATGATGCTGATGATCGTGATGATGATCGTGACGTTAATGTTAATGTTGATGGTGATGAGTGGGCGGAGGTTGATGGTGGCGGTGGTGGTGGGTGTTGATGATGAGATGGGAAAGAGGAGGAAGAGGAGGAGGAGGACGAGGAGGACGAGGAGGAG